GATGTCCCCACTTTTCACAAAAACAAACCTGTGTGTGTGTGTTTTAACTATGTGCAGTGATCCCTCATTCCCTCGACTTGGTCAGATGCTTATAGAGTACGACCATCCATGGAAAAAGCTTTCAGAGGAGTTTGGTCCCCACACCAAGGTCAGTCCCCTTTCGATACCATTTTAGATACCAACCATATTTCCATATGTTTAAATGTTGGTAACAAAATTATTTTATAGACAATTATATATACAAAATAATGTTCTTATGACATGCAAAATGAGTATTTTCAGTCTGCCCTTTCATCCTTTTATCAGCATCAGTCTTATTATATTCTAGTGCTTAGCACGTACAGCCCAGTTTCTGTTTGCTGCGCAGCCATATTAAAGAGAAATGACAACCTAGTGAATATTGGATAGATGTAACTTAAGTATAGTCATTCTAGTCTTAAAGTGATTCAGTTGCAGGGTTAATATGAATAGCTGTGCTGTTGCTAAGTCTGTGACAGAGGCTCTCCTCTCACTGCTCATGGTGTATCCGCGGAGGAATCTTTCTGCTGACCAGTGGCGCAGCGCTCAGCTCTTGTCTTTGCTGGCGTCCCCCGCTGCCATGCTCAGCCCTGCATGCTGTGACACAGTATGTACATCTTCCACTGTGCAGATCATCAGTTATCGGTTCAGCTGTGTGGTTTAGCTTGGCTTTTTACATTGATTATACAATGCCATTGCAATCCATGAGGTCATGATCAGTAAACCGTTGTGCATTTGGCTGTTTGTATAAAGGACTGACACTGAACATTGTTTTCAGATGGCTTGTGAGTATCTGTCCATGGAGGCGATGGAGCGCTGGATCCTCAGTGAGTATCTGTTATGTACAAGGAGTCATGCGATTTCAGTACAATCTTCCAATATTTGTTAAATATGTCAACATCACTAGACAAATCATGAAAAACCATGCTGAAGTATTATTTTATGTTCATAAACCAAGATAGCTGCTCTAGCTATGGCTCTGAATCAACAGTGGAAACACTTTGGGTTTGTGTCATTTCACTGGACTCAAAAAAAAAAAAAAAA